GCTGTAGCACCAGACTTTCACATTCAATCTCTGTTTCCTTTCTCCCCATCTTCTTGAATATTTTAATTAGGAATCATTTTAATAGTAACATTTGAATTACCTAATATAGTCTTTAAACAACAGCCCAAATAAAGAAAAAAAATGTTCCCCTTAAATGGAACTGTCAGTTTTGCTGAGCATTCAGAATAGCTGAGTATATGGTGCTACTCTGAATTAGGTCTTTAGTTTTCATTAAAGCATTACATTGAATAAGTTAAATATCTCTGCTCCTAATTTAAAATGGTAATGAGAAGCTGAAAATAAAAGACAGTGCAATAAGGAATATCAGGGGCATGCACGTCAAATTTAATAAAAGGATTCTTTATCCTTGCTTTAGCTTTGGTTTTATTCTTTTGACCCAAAAGAACATTGAAATCTTGAAATAAAAGAGAAGACTATAAAATGAAGTGTAATGACTTCAGAGATAAATGTATTGGTTCATTACTTGGTATTGAAATATAGAATCTCTTAGAAAACCAAATTTCCAAAACCTATTAAAAAGACATAATTAATAATTCTACCAAAAACAATTTCTTTTGCTATTATTATTATAAGTACTATATGAAGATATGCTTTAATCAAATCACTTTGATCAAGAATTTAACTGATGGCCTTCTTGAAGTATTTTTACAACTTTATATATTTCACTGTATGATAAGTGATGTTTGTTTCTACATTCGCACAGTATCAGCTAATATAAAATGGCTTATCCAAGACACATGAGAAAGTGAAAGGCATTACTTGCAAATTTCCTCAAAAGACATAACCCCTTCATGATGTATTATGGTCTTCTGTCTTAAAAATAATCACTAACATATAATTTTTACCTATTTTAGAGCTAACTGCATTGGAAGACAATGGTGTAATATAGGAAAAAGGAAGTTAGTTATAGTTTGATATGCCAGTTTCTTCTGACTAACAAAACCGTTTCCTTCAACCGACAAAAACCCTTAAGTGATTAGAGCTGGGGCATAGGTAGGTGGATTATATGGCCACAAGAGGGCAGCAGATGGTCTGAAACTAATGAACTGAACTGACACGTGTGGAACGCTTACAGTAGTGAAGGCTTTTCAGTCTAGAAAGGGTAGTTTCTAACATCAGTATGAAAATGGAAGGGAGGAAGAGAGGAAGGGAGGAGGGCAGGAAGAATGGGAAGGAGAGAGGAAGGGTGGGAGGGAGGAAGATCTACCAAGAGAGACAAAAAAGGAACAAAGATTCTTTTTAACAGGTTGATTGGTTTGTTTTCATTTGCTTGTTTTTGAGATAGGGAATGGGGGGCGGGGGGGGGTGTATTACCAACGGCTAAACTGCTGCTCTACTGCCCGAGGCCAAAATACATAGAAACTCCTGGTTTTGCCCAAATCTACCCCCAGAAGGTGCAATTATTGGTAAACCTTCCCACTACAAAAAAAAAAAAAAAAAAAGTAGCTTTTAGCTGTACAGTTTGTTCTTCTCACAAACCATTTTTTCTCTCTTGAATAATTAATCTCCATCAAAATATGGGTTTCTGAAAATCAAAGAGCATAAGCTGCCTGGTTCTGCCCCATGCCTCCAAAGTTCTAATCCAGGAGCCAGAAATTTCTCTTTGCTAAATTTTATGCTCTTCTTTCATCATTTTCAATTATTTCTTGCCACAGGCTATGTGTCTTAGCTGTGGTCAAGATACCACTAGGGAATTCAGGTCTGTATGTTAATCATCCTCTCAGTTCTTCCAAAGACCACAAGAACACAAAAAAGATATAACTTACTATTATACAATTAATCCACCATTGAACCACCTTATCTGGTTTACTAGGTTTTGCCTCAGTAATACTGAATTAGATTTAAATCATATGCAGGTTTAGATGGGTATATACCATTGCATGTAGCAAATGGAGACTCCTGCAGCTCTCTTCAGGGGAGGTACCACCATTCATCATTACATCTGGCACATCCTCATTAAGTAGGTACTATATAAATACATTCTTGGGAAGTCACACAAGAAGCATCAGTCCCAAATCACAGTTTGGATTATAAATCACAAAACAGCTTTAGCTCTCCAGTTCTTTTTACAATTACATCAGACATCCAACTTTTATTACAATTTGGAATAGTAAATATTTGCCCAGGTCTCAATCTGGGCTCAAAAGTCCAGGAAGAAAGAAAGAAAAGTAAGAAGATGTGTCTTAATTATACTGACTGATTATATACCAATACACAACAACATGCATTTGGAATATTTTCAACTGATCTGCTTCTTCACTTAGTCGTTTACAAAACCTTCAAAAGAGACATAAGTAATTATGGCAAATATGGTTTTGCTCCCTCTTGTTTGCACCTGTTTTCTATCAGACAGTCTTGACTGAGCAGGAAAACGATGAAAGAATAGACACCAAAGTGGTAAAAGGGTTTATGAAGAAACTACATAATACATAAAACTATAAATAAATAGCCTATAGTTCACTTTAAGGGGAGAGCAATGCTGTGTTCAAGTTAGAACACTTGCTAACTTGGAGAAAAATAATGAACACATTATATGCCAAGTATTCCTCTAAGTACTTTACACATATTACTCATTTTAGTCATGAAGCATCCCCATAATTTGATCTTATTATTACCACATTAGTTTTACAATTGAAGAAAACAGGGCAGGGAGTGTCGAGTCACTTGCCTAAAGTTATACAACTAGGAAGTAAAAAGCCTTACTGCAAAGCCAGCCTTTATAAGTTTTGGCCTCCCAGGTAGGAAGCTTGAGGAGAACACGCAGCTGCTTTGACGACAGTGATGCCTTATTTTCTCCCTTTAAATTAGGAGAATAGTTAAGTTTAGCAAAAATAATTAGAGGTTACTAGAATGACTGAGGATAGTTGCCTGAACCACAGAAATAGGGGTTATGTGTTTTGCATTGTAGCTTGAGAAATTAGCACACAAAGCACTGATATAACTTCTCAATCCTATCTTAGACTTCTCATGTGTTTTCAAAATTTCCTATAATTTTTCTTTAGTATTTTGCCTGTGCTGTGTTTCTAGCCAAAAATTCTTAAAACGATGGAAAAATCTGGACAGAGAATCAGTATATACACACACAGGTTCTAGAACAAGTTTTTTCTCCCTACAGACCAACTTGTCAAACTCCGTCATTTCACATTTTGTTCCCTGAGTGCCTAACCTGTCCTCTGATATAGCTCCATTCAACAGCTGGTCCTCTTGGGTGATGGCTCTGGAAGAACTGTTCCCATGTCACAATTTCTAGCAGGTCTAGCTGATCCAGCTCTTTGAAAGATACTTTCCCCATAGTAGAAATAAAGCTTTTCAGAGTGATTTTGTGTTTGCCTGTGTGTATATGTGTGTGTGTGCATGTGATTCTTATTAGAGAATGGGTTGGCCTATTTCTGTTAGTAATGCTGCCTTACTTGAGATCAAAATGACTCCAAATTTCCAAATCATTGTCCACTGGCCCTTTGCTCTGGCATGGCACACTTAGTTAAACAAGAAATCCAGTAGCTTCTACTCTGCAGTCTCGGTCAGCTCAGGCCACTACCATATATTACCATAGATTGGGTGACTTAAACAACAAGCATTTATTTCTTACAGTTCTGGAGACTAGAAAGTCCAAGATCAAGGTGCCCACAAATTTGGTGTCTAGGGAGGGTCCTCTTCCTGATTGGTAGATGGCAGCTTTCTTCTTATACCCTCACATAGTAGAGAGAGAGAAATAATATCTCTCTCATGTCTGTTCTTATAAGGTCACTAATCTCATCCATAAGGGCTCCATCTTTGTGACCTAATTATCTCCCAAAGGTCTCACCTTCAAATACCATCACATTAGGGATTAGGGCTCCAATATAGTAATTTTAGTAGGATACAAACATTCAGATGGTAGCACCAAGTAAAGTATGTGTGTACATAAATATATATTCCCATCTTCTCTTTCTTATTACTGTTATCATCATAGTGTAGATTCATTTTATTCTTCTCAGCTGTTAAATGAACTCATAACTTATTTCCAACCTCAGGCTCTCTCCACTCTAATCCATCTTCCAGAGGGCTGTCAAGAGGAATTTTCCTCAGCATGACTCTGCATGTTACTTTCCTCCTCAAAAATCTTCAGTGATTACCGTTTTTTACCAAATCAGTGTGGACACATGGCAAGGTGATTAGGGCTCTCTGGAGTGTGACCTCTAAATAGCACTCTCTGAAGAGGCAAAAAGGAATTTAAGAATATCTGTGCTATGCACTGGACCCCAAGCAATTGTGTCCCTCATTTCCCTCATTTATAAAAGTGTCCTTTCAGCCAAGATGTCAATTAAAACCCTGCCGTCATTAGGATTCTGTTCAGTCTACCTTCTCAAGGTTCTTTCTCCTGCTTCCATATCTCTACAAAAAAACTTTGCATTCTCCATGTTTACGTCTTAGCTTCTGTTTTAGTCATTTTGGGCTACAATAAATACCATAAACAATACACATTTATTTCTCACAATTCTGGAAGCCAGGAAGTCTTAAGATCAAGGCACTAGCACACTTGTTGTCTGGTGAGAGCCCACTTCCTAGTTTGTAGATGGCCACCTCCTCACTGTATCCTTGTATGGTCAAAGGAGAAAGAGCTCTCGTGTCTCTTGCTCTCAAGTGTCTCTCCTTATTAAGGGCACTATGACAACTCTAATGACCTAATTGCATCCAAAAGGTCCCATCTCCAAATATCATCATATTGGAGATTAAGATTTCAACATATGAATTTGGGGGCACACAATGTTCAGTCTATAGCAGCAACTCTACTCAAATTAAGCCTCAAGTGGGCAGAAACCATATTTCTTTCATCCTTTTATTGCCCTAGGACGTTGTCTCTACAGATTTTCAATAAATTGAATGATTTACTAAATCATAGGATATGAAAATCAAATAATATGAGATTTAAATTTCTGATAAATATTTCAAATGAAATTAATATACCTTAAGGAAGTTCCAGAAGAAAGCTTACCTACCTCTCAAGTGATGATTCACTGAAATTCAGAGTTCTGAAGTCACTGGTAGCTTACAGAGAGGGAAGGAAATTTCTATGTGACTTGATCTGTTTCCTCAAAAGAACTTCTCTGGATCAAATGAAAACTCTGAAGAAATGGTACTGAATATATCCACCAATAAGACCTTGAAAAGAAATATTTATAAGAGTCAAATTTATTTCTTAGAATATTAAAGAGAACTCCTTATGATAATTATATTTTAAAACAAAAGTAATGACATTTATTAAAGCACGTATGTTTAATTTTTTAAGTAAATTGATAAAAACATAATCTTTAAAGAATTTAGGGGAAAAAAAGACACTTTGATCTCTGTAATAGAGAAGAAATGTATATTAAAAATTATTTAGATATGTATATAATAAACATATGTAATGAACATACGTTCATCTTCTAACAGCAGAAATAACTGTTGATCCAAACTTTTGGAAATAATATCTTAATTCATAATTTGTGACAGTTAACAAAAACAAATCTTGGAAACATGTTTCTGTTTCTCACTTGCCTTCGCAAAGGAATAAAAAAGTTAAACATTAAATTTAACAATAACCAATCAAAAATAGAACAACTCAGGCTTCACTAAACTGTATCAAAAATAGCATCTAATTCTAGGAGAAAAATAACATCTTGGATAAGAAAATACATAGACACACAGTCCAAGACAATTTTTTCACAATATTACAATGTAATATTCATCTTTTTGCCTTTGAGACTTCTCCTACCTCCAAACTTTTTCCTAATATTCCATCCCTCTTTATTAGCCATGGCTTTCCTCAGGGCCTCACGAAAATGCAAAAAAAGACAGAGACCACTTTGACTTATTATGTCTTCCAAAATCACTCAGGCTTATGATGTCTTCCAGCATCATAGAAGAATAAATAATCTAAATTCAAAGGCATATCTTTGATAGCTTTATGTAAAAAGACTTTAAAATTCTTTACCCAACAAGTTTAACTTCCCTCATCATAAAAATATTTTCAGATATATGGAATTATAATAAGTCTGATGATCCTGCCCAAAAGATGCAACAAAGGTGCTCTGGACCATTTAATGGTGTATTAGAGTTCTTTGCTGTTTGCCCAGGTTATGCTAGCCATCCTTTAAGTCATACACTCATCTTTCAACCAAATATATTTCCAGAACTCCAGATGAACCCGACCCAACCCTATGCAGTGCTCTGTGGATACACTGATATAAAAACATAACCCCCTTTTTCCTAACCCTGTAATTTAATTGACTTATGTTCCTTGAAAAAGTCTGTATCATAAAATCCTTGCTGTTTTACCCCAGGACCCTTGCAACTAAAAGCATGTACCTTCAGGATAGCAATAATGTGTTTCCTATGAAGAACAGGCATGCAGCAATAGGCTGAGATATGGATTTCAAATCCAGTATCCTGGACCTGTCACACAAAACCTGAATGTCACCTTGTATTAAACTGTTCTTATGTGAATGTCAACTCACTTGTTTAAATTAGAAAACTGTTCTTATATGTAAAGTAGTATAAACTTTGAGAGTAGACTGTTATAAGTTAAAAATGCATATTATAAACTATAGAGCAATTTCTAAAAATTGTAAAAAGAGATATAGTAAACAAACCAATCAGTGAATTAGAATGGGAAAACCAAAAATTCCTAAATCAATGCAAAATAAGGCAGGAAAAAAAAAAAGTAAAAAAACAGATGGGAAAAAAATTTTGAACATATAGCATAGTATAGATACGAATCTAACAAATTTGATACTGTCATTAAATGTAAATGATTTAAGTACCCCAATTAAAGGTGAGCAATTGACACACGGAGTAAAGAAGCAAGACCTATTTGCTCTCTATGAGAAAACTATTTTTCATCCAAAGAAATAGATAGTTGAAAAGTAAAATCTGAAAAAGAGATAAATCTGGAAGACATTAATCATAAAAAGTTGGAGGGGTTCTTTAAATATCAGGGAAAGTAGATTTCAAAACAAGGGGTATTAAAAGGGATAAAAAGGATAACTCATAATGATTGAAGGGGCAACTCACTAAGAGAACATAAAAGTTCTAAGTGTGTATGTACCCAGCAACAAATCATTAAAATACTTGAAGCAAAAAAGAACAGAACTAAAAAGGAGAAATAAACATTCACACTGCAATTGGAGACCATAACACTCTTGACAGAAAATAAGGAACAATACACAAGACTTAAACAATTCGCCTACAACTTGATCCAATTGATATTATAGAACACTTTACATCACCAGGTTACACATTAGTTCCAAGAACACATGAAACATTCATAAAGATAGACCATAAAACAAATTTCAATAAATTTAAAAAGACTGAAGTCATAAGAGCATATTTTCTGACCAAACTGAAATAGAAGTGGGTAACAGAATAATATATAGAAAATCCATAGTATCTGGATACTTTAAAACACAAGTCTAAAGAACTTTTGGTTCAAAGAAGAAATTGCAAAAGAAGTGAGAAAATATTTTGTACTGAATGAAAATGAAAACACAGTATCTCAAAATGTGTGGGTTGATACTAAAGCACTGTGTATAGGGAAAATGTCATTAATTTTAAAGGCTCAGATCAGAGAAAAGGGGTCTCACATCACTGATCTAAATTTTCACATGAATAAACTAAAAAGCGCAAACTGAACACATGGTAAGCAAAAGGCAGAAGAAGTCCCGAAGATATAAGAGGAAATAAATATACAAGAAAACAGATAAAGAATGTTTCCAATGTAACCTTGCAAAGACCAATAACATCGGTAAATCTCTTGCTAGATTTATCAAAACACACAGACACACACACACACATGCACACACACACACATACAGGGAAAGAGAAGACAAAAATAGTAACATTGAAGAATGGAAGATAGGATATTACACATCTTACAGATATTAAAAGGATAATAAAAATACATGAAAAATGTGTCAATAAATCTAAAAACTCAGATAAACTAATTCCTTAAAAGACATACTGCCAAACTGATTTAGAAAGAAACTGAAAATCTTAGTATCCCTAAATCTGTTAAAGAAATTGAATTTTAATTAGAAACTTTCCCACAAAGAAAATGCAAGGCCCAGTTGTCTGTACTCATCAATTTCATCAAATATTTTAAAAATAATCTTCCACAAACTCTATTAGATAATTGAGAGAGATTCAGTGAAGTTTATAAAGCATGACCTTAATATCAAAATCAAAGACATTACAAGAAAATAAAACTTTCCCATCAATGTCTTCACAGATACCGAAGTAAAAAGCCCTCACAAAATATTAGCAAAAGAAAACCAGCAGCATGTAAAAAGCGTATTACATCATGAGGTTTATTTCAAGAATTTAAGTTTGGTTTAAGAGTAAAATTTTCATTCAAGAACTCATAAATGATGTTGCAAATGGCAGAATCTCCCTCTTTTTTAACACTGAGTAACATTCCATTCTATGCATATACCACACTTTCTTATCCACTGATCTGTTGATGGACACTTGGGTTGTTTTCACATTTTGGCTCTTGTGAATAGTGCTACAATGAACATGAGAGCACAGATATTTCTTGGAGATCCCGATTTCAGTTATTTTGGAAATACGCCCAGAGTGGGATTGCTAGAACATATGGTAGTTCTATTTTTAATTTTTTGAGGACCCTCCATACTGTTTTCCAAGATTGCTGCACCACTTTACATTCCCACCAACAGTGGACAAAGGTTTCAATTTCTATACAACCTCACTAACACTTCTCATGCTAAGTGAAATAAATCAGTCAAATTAGGATAAATACTGCATGATTCTATTTATATGAGGTATCTAAAATAATCGAAGTCATAGAAGCAGAGAATATGATGTGGTATCAGAGGCTGGGGGATGAAAGAAATGGGGAGATGTTATTTAGTGAGTATAAAGTTTTAGTTATGCCAGATAAATTTTAGAGATGTGCCTAGAGTTAACAATACAAATGCATTTCAGAATTTTTAAAAGCATAGCTTTCATGTTGTCTTCTTACCCTTCTTCCCACAAAAATGAGACACAAGGCAACTCTGAGAGGTGTTAGGCATGTCTATTACCTTGATTGTGCGAATGGTATCACAAGTGTTTGCATATGTCCAAACTCACCAAATTGTTGTACGTATTAAATATGTGCAGTTCTCGGTACATCAATTATACCCCAATAAGGCTGTTAAAAACAATAATAAGACCTATCTCAAAAACTGCTATAAGAGTCCAATGAAATAATGTCTGTTCCATGCTCAGCACAACATCTGGCATAGGATAATCAAAAATCATACAGTAGAATAAAATGCCTAAAATACTTTTAATAAAAGAAGAACTAAATGTGAGAGTTAAGCCAGTTTGAAGAATATGGGGTTAACATACAAAAGTGATTATATTTCTATATCCTAGAAAAATAGATCAAGATTAAAATAATCACATTTACAACATCATTCAAAACCATAAAATATTATGAATAAATTAGCAATGTTTTGTATGAACTGCACACTGAAAACTGTAAAAGATTGTTGAGAAAAATTTAAGATCTAAATAAGTGGAGAGATACACCATGTGGATGAATCAGAACACTCAACATGGTCAAAATATTAATTATCCCAAAATTGAACTTCAGATTCTATACAACTGCAATCAAAATTTGAACAGGCTTTTTTTTTTTTTTTGGCAGGAAAAAACTTCTGACTCTGAAATTTATAGGAAAATTTAAAGAATCAAGAATAATTTTAAAATTTTGATAAAGAAGAATAAAAATATAAGAATTACACTGCTTTATTTCAAGATTACTTTAAAGCTACAGTAATCAAGACAATGTGATACTGGCTTAAAGACAGAGCAACAGATCAATGGAACAGGAGAAATACTCCAGAAATAAGCCAACAAAGACATATTTACTTGATTTTTGATGTTATTAAGGCAATTCAATGGTGAAAAAAATAGTTTTTCCAAAATAAACTGTGACAGAATAACTGAATATCAATATAGGAAAAACAAACTCAAATCTTTACTTACACACAAAAATGAACTTGAAATGTACCTAGCCCTAAACATAAAGTTAAAACTGTAAAATTTCTAGAAGAAAATCTCTGTGGCCTTGGGGAAAACAAATATTTATTACAGAGTTCACAAAAGTCAATTAACA